TCGAACCCGGGCCGCACGCATGCCAGGCGAGCGCGCTACGGCTTGAGCCACATCCCCAACCCTATTTTATTCTTTTACCCTTATGGAATCCAGCTTATTTAATAAACTACTTATACATGTGCCCCTTCTTATACAAGGGGAATTCTGGTATCTATGATAAAATAATGTGCATGCAATCTTTGGAATTAGACCAAACCACATAGTCTCTCCAACCCAGCACCTGTTAGCCATGTGACCTTGAAAGTACTGCCTCTGTTTGCACCTGTTTCCTTCCCTGCATAATAAAAATAATAATCACCCCTACTTAATGAGGTTATTGTAAAAGTCAAATTTGGCAAGCTATGAGAACCAGCCTTTAAACTGTAGTCTCTAAAGCTCATGCTAAGATTTATATATAAAAATGTTCCAAATTGGAAACAACCAAAATCCTTTGAAAACAGGAGCATAATTAAACAAACAATACCACATCTGTATAAACTGAGTGGCCAGTTCTCTGCATGCCACATCAGTCTTTTCTCTTCTTAATTCCCACCATAGTATGTATCATTTGTCCCTTGACACAATCAATGAATAGAGCCACTGGCACTAGAGAGCTATTTGGTTCCCAGTACCAGAGAGAAAGACATGCTGAATAAAATTAAATTATAGTTACATTAGGGGACTTTATGACAGTTGAATTTACTTCTGGTATCTAGAAATCAAATAGGTCAAGAGACAGAGACTTGTAACTTCCACAAATTCTAATTTTACATCAACTGTCTTTCTTCTTGAGTTCATCAAACCATCGGCTGTGCTGACATTGGAAACGCCCACCTTTGATGTTTCACTGGGCCTGTCCTCAAGTGTTTCCAATATGTCAGGTTACTTCAGAGGGGCATACATTCATTTTCTGGAGACACATCAGAAGTGTTTTTCACCTCTGAAGTCATCACATCCCACTTCCATCACCATTTCCTGTATTGCCTGGTCCAGATTGCTTCAATATCACATCCCCGACAGTATTGCCATATTCACTGAGTTGTCAATGCCGATTCCGATTATTATTGTGCTAGGAAAAAGGCTCACTTAGATAACGAAGTCATGACAGTGAGGCCATGGGTCGAGCCACAATGACACTGATGGTCATATCACTTAGCCCTTCACTAACCAGCAAATACAGCCATACCTGTAATCCAACCAATGGGGGACTCTAAGTGTTGGGTACCCTGGCCCTGACAATGTTCTTATCTTTCTCCCAGACACCCGAACAGTATTGAAGAAACCAATCCCAAATCTCACCTGCCTTTAGACTCTACACTTTGTCTGGTAATGGACTTCCTGCTCTCCTCTTTGTCAGTATGGCATTTATTACATCTCACTGGTTTACTCCTAGCAATATGTTGTAAAGAAACACAGTCCACGCTACTAAGAGTTACTTCAAAATAACTCATGTCTCTTACTTGAATACCTCAGACATCACAAGGGGAACACAAACTTAAAGCCCCATAATTTTTTTTTTAAATACCCTTCCATTCTTTTCTTTTCTATCTACTACCCTTCTGTTTGGGAGCTGGGCCTTTTAATTTTTTTTAACCCTTCCTCCAATTTCTCAGGACCTCCTCACCACACACCTGTTGGAATTTTCCACTTTTCTTCAGATTCTCCATGAGAAAGTCCCAGAATTGGTATGGCAGGTAGACTCCTGCTCAAAGGCAGAGAAGATACGTTGGGAGCTTTCCCACTTTAATAGCTATGTCCCAACACACTGGCACTGCAGAGCGACTAGAGCTCTGCCCCAGGTTAGCCAATGGGTGAGGGCAGGGGCCACTTTGAAGAGCAGTTCTTAGTTCAGCCAGAACTGTTTTAAATAAGAATACTAATGTTTTCCTTGAAGTTACCTAGTTAAGGGAATAGAGTTTTCTAGAAGAGACTCAAGTTCCCTTTCTTCTCTGGCTTCCAGAAGGGCAGACAAAGGACTGTGGGAGGGATGGCAGGCAACAGAGACTGAAGTCAGTCCAGGACTGTCCAGCAAAGCCACTCGAGGTGGTTCCTGCAGGGGAAACATACCTCCAGCATATTGTATCCATTGCATGAAACCTAATGAGTTTCCTTTGTTTGTTTTCCCTCTAAAAACAAAGAGATTGAAATTTTATTTCTGAAAGCTATAATGGAGGAAGATTAACAGGCCCTGTCAGGGATGAGAAAGTTAAGTCTTTAGTGACTCTCTACATGGCCAACACAAAATTGCAGCTACATACCATTAAATTGCGGTTTTGAATGATATTAAATGGCATAGGGGATTTCTAAGAACAAAATAAGCAGAATACAAATTTCATAGAGCATTACAGAAAAATCCTGTTTTCTTAGAGCAAAAGAACATGCACCTGGAAAAAAAAATGTAGCCACATTTATCTCTCAAGTTGCATAACTTTTTATTTTTATTTGTTTCTTTCTGTATTTTCTTAAGTATTATAATTTTAATTAAAAACTTAGAAAAAAACACTCATGAGAGTGAGCAGCTCTCTAGTAGCCCATAAGTGTGCAAGGACAGCACCATTCAAGCTCACTTGCACCCTGAGCTGCTCTCAGGCTTCCCAAGCTTCATCCTAAGGTCTTCATCTAGTTCACTCCATTGTGCCCACCATCCTCTCTGATCAGCACCTGTTCCCCCCACCCCCTTAACTGTGCCTGCACCCTGGGCGTCTAGAGAAGAGACAATGGGGGAGATTGAATAATCAGCAGCTATGCAGCCAGTAAAAGAGGGAAAAAGGGAAAAGCAGGTGACCATGCTCTTTTTATGTAGAAACTGACAGCAAGATATTCTAGATCCATCTGCTGCTCTGAGGAGGTAGAACAAAACATCTGGAGAAGCCTCCTCAGACACATTCAAGGGCATCTCTGTGCAAAGCTAAATTTAGCTGCTGTATTTCCATGGGAACAAACACAGTCCTTATCTTCAAGCCTTTTTATTTTTTATGAGGGGCAATTTATGGGCAACATGATCATCTGCAATATACTTATGAAAGCTTTCAGAAAACAAGGCTGATTCCCAAGAGAACTTGCTGAACCAAACCCAATGTGGGGCCTGAGGCTAGTCTTGGTGGTTTCAGACCCAATTTTATCACCATCTTCATGCTATGAACGTACACAAGTGCATAAGGAAGAAATAGAAAATGAGAATAAGGATTCACTAAAAATTTAAATGATATTATATCACAGTTATGATTCCATAGCAATTCCACTCTTAGGCATATACCTAAGAGGACTGAAAATGTATGTCTACCTAAGAACTTCTATAAGGATGTTCATTGCATCATAATTCATAATAGTCAAAGAGTGGGAACAACTCAAGTCCATCAACTGATGAATACAAAAATAAAATGCGGTAGATTCTTATAGTAGAACACCACTAAGCAAATAAAAGGAGGAAGTACTGACATCTGCAACAATATAGATGAAACTTGGAAACTTCAGGCAAAGTGAATTCAGCCAGACAAAAAAAGGCAACATATGGATTCTACTATGTGAAATGTCCAGAATAGGCAAATTCATAGGGACAGAAAAGGTTCACAGGATCAGAAATGGAGGAAAGAGAAAGTTAGGAGAAATTTCTAACTCAGAATTCCTTCTGAGGATGATGGAAATGTTCTGGGATTAGTGGTAGTGGTTGTACCTACCACCTTGTCAAGGCTGGGGATGTAGCTCAAGCGGTAGCGCGCTTGCCTGGCATGCGTGCGGCCCGGGTTCGATCCTCAGCACCACATACAAACAAAGATGTTGTGTCTGCTGAAAACTAAAAAAAATAAATAAATATTAAAATTCTCTCTCTCTCTCTTTAAAAAAAATGTTAACTAACAAATTATATACCTTAAAAAGGTGAATCCTATGTTATGTAAAATTTTGATCTACATAGATTTTAATCTCAATTTTTTAAAAATTAAAAGAATGGAGGCTTAGTGCTGGAGAAGTAGCTTGGTGGTAGATAAGCATGAGACCCTGGCTTCAATCCCAGTACTAGAGTAGAAGGAGAAGGAGAAGGAGAGAGAGGAGGAGGAGGAGGAGGAGGAGGAGGGGGAGGAGGAGGAAGAGGAAGAGGGCTGCTTAGAGGATGAGATCATCTGATTAGCTCTCACTTCAGAGCCCCAGATGAAATCCATATCAGCCATAACATTTGACCAGTATGGGTTCTGAGCAATGGGGTATTTGTATAGTTTCGGTGCTTTGTAGTAACTGATCTGACCCTATGGTGTTGCCCTGCCCACCACACAAATAGAACTACATAGGTGCCCATGGCTCACTCCATGCTACTGGATAGGTACTGGTCTGGGCAAAAGGACCAGTTCCAGAGATCCCCTGCTTCTTTTTGTTTCTAATTGAAGATTTTTGTTATTGCAGCCTGGACTGATATAGCTTCAGGTCTTGAGTGTGACAGAACCTGCAGATACTGCCATTCTTTGTTTTGGGTAAGGATGGGGGAAAGCAGGATCAACAGAGACAGTAATATAAGGAAATTCTTAAGAGTGCCCTGTGGTAAACCTGAAGGTCAGCCTGGGATGTGATGTCCTTATTCATTCTAGTTAGTCTTCTGCGGATACCCATGACCCCAGAGCATCTGGCTGAGCAAGGGGGTCTCTGGGCGGGCAGTGAGGATGGGACAGGGAATCCCACCAACATGTTGCCTCTTGCACTTATTGCACAATTAGCCTCAGTGAACTATTCATTTGTTGACCTTGAGCTAGTTGTTAAAGAATAATGGATAGGGAGGGATCCACCAGGGTTGTTACAAGGACAGTTTCCTTTCCTAAGTAATGAAGCTGTCTTTTCAACACAGCTGTGCCTTCAAATGCAGGTTGCCGACCCAGGTAGAGACACAGCAGCAGCACATACATTAAGAGGCTAAGCCAGCACCACTGACATCCCCCACGAGATGCTCTTTCTCACTTTGTGAAACTCATCTTTCCGTTTTACTTTCCTTCTTTTCAAAATTTTGATAGTTATGGAAATGGCATTTGTCGATTTAGTACTTCTCTTCAAAGGGTTTCCTTAATAATTTGGCTTGTATTCTGCCTATTTAATTTACGAACCTCATGCTCTATCTGTGCTACTGAATTGCTATGTCTTTTCATCTTCTTAACAACGTCTGTGTCTCTTTGAGCAAAGAATGTTTACAGAATTAGCTGAATCTATACGGCCTTTCAAGGCTTTTAAGACTTCTCCTTTTTCTCTTCTAAATTAAGGAAATGGATTTCTTAAACTATAAGAAAAAAAGTTGATTTTTTAAAATCCCTCATTTAAAAATTTCTTAACTTTGCCACTAGAGCTAATTCCAAGCAGAGCTGGAAAATGAAATGGAGTCATTGTTTTCCCTCATCCACTTCCATGCTTCTGTTTTGTTAGCTGGTGATAAGTTAAAAATTTTTTATTTTGCTCTAAAAGGGTGAATGGCCACCTTGGAACAGTCAGGTCATGTTAAGCCAGTTGCTGAGAATTTTAAAAATCAAACAAGGAAAAAACATTATATATGTTTTAAACTCCTAGATGATTTTTTACAGTCTCTTCTCAACTCAGATATATCTTATATCACCATAACAATTTGTATCCTGTAACAAATCATTAAATAAATGACAAAAAGGAGAGTCTAATTTGCTGTTAGTTTTTGTTGTTTTTGAAGGGCTATCAGTCAGATGCATAGTTCCTCATTTCATAACCTATGTCCCACTAATTTAGGCTCAGAAATTTCAGAACCATCTCTCCACTTTCAATTTTTGGTTATTACCATGACACATGAAGGTCAAGTGTCCTTTCTCCAGTCACCCCGCATCTCTTTGGCAAAGATCACAGGAAGGGAAAAGGGTTTTTGCTTTGATTGACACAGTCTTCCTAACGCTTCCCACGTGCTCCAACAGCAGCTTCAACCTTCTCTGTGTCACTTCGCTGTACTTCCAATGATCACTTCCAATGATCCATTTACTTCATGACCTCTCCTAGACTCAGGAGCACAGGAATCACAACTTATTTGTTGTTTGAGTCCTTATTCCTAGAACAGAGAGATAAATGTTACATGGAGCAGGACACTTACTGGATTGAGAGGCTGGGCATTCTGAGATTGTTGGAGGTAACTCAGGTAAACTGGCCATATCCTTTGTAGAAAGTAGGCACAGAATCCCTGTGCATTGACTGTCCAAACTGCCCAAGAAATTCAAAGCCAGAATGAAGCAACTCCCCAATCATTTTTATCTGAAAATGTTTATCTAAGAAGAACTCCTACGTAAAGGAAAGTTACCCCCCCACACAGTACCATTATGAACATCTGCTTGCCTACCAGATATGTAAAAAAAAAAATATTGACAATTGTTAATATTTGGCCATATTTGCTTTATCTATAGCTATTAAACATATAGATATTTAAAAATAGCTTCAGGTTTAAGAAAAATATGGTCTTTATGGAGAAAATATCTAAAGCAAAGACATTAAAGCGTCATTCCATTGCCCAAAGAATGAAGAGGTGATCCCTTTTCCAGACTTTTAAGGCCTCTGTGATCTGAGTCTTGTTGACTTCATTTCTAGATATATCTGTGGCTGCTCCTCCACCTCATGTATTTTCCAGCCAGGCAGAACTATTCTAAATTCTAGGATCAGCATCCAGCTTTCTCTCTTCTCCCTCTGGGTCTTCATGCATGCTATTCCATTTGTGTGGTGTGTCCTACTGCCATCCCTCTTTTATCTGGCTAATTTCTACTTTAGCTCTTCAGGCTATCCAGGCTGTTTAGAAGCTTTTGCCATCTGCTTCCATTGTGCCCCTATCAGAGCTAAAATATGGCCTAGGTCTCTCTCCACTGTTAGATCTTGACCCTCATAGTAAGAACCTTATTTCTTTTTAAAAAATTTTTTTATTCTAATTTGTTATATGTGACAGCAGAATGCATTATAATTTATATTACAGATATAGAGCACAATTTTTCATATCTCTGGTTGAATACAAAGTAAACTCACAACAATCGTGTCTTCATACATGTACTTAGGGTAATGATGTCCATCTCATTACACCATCTTTTTTACCCCTATGCCCCCTCTCTTTCCCTCCCTCCCCTTTGCCCTATCTAGAGTTCCTCTAATCTTCCCATGTTACCCCTTCCAACCCCACTATGAATCAGCCACCTTATATCAGAGAAAATATTCAGCATTTGGTTTTTGGGGATTGGCTAAATTCACTTAGCATTATATTCTCCAATGCCATCCATTTACCTGAAAATGCCATGATTTTATTCTCTTTTAATGCTGAGTAATATTCCATTGTGTATATACATCACATGTTCTTTATCCATTCATCTACTGAAGGGCATCTACATTGGTTCCACAGTTTAACTATTATGAATTGTGCTGCTATAAATATTGATGTGGCTGTGTCCCTGTAGTATGCTGTTTTTAAGTCCTTTGGGTATAGACCCAGAAGTGGGATAGCTGGGTCAAAAGGTGGTTCCATTCTCAGTTTTCCAAGGAATCTCCATGCTGCTTTCCACATTGGTTGCACCCTATTTCAGTCCCACCAGCAATGTCTGAGTGTGCCTTTTTCCCCATATGCTTGCCAACATTTATTTTGTTTGTATTCTTAATAGCTGCCATTCTGATTGGAGTGAGATGAAATCTTAGAGTAGTTTTGATATGCATTTCTCTAACTGCTAGAGATGTTGAACATTTATTCATATATTTGTTGATTGATTGTATATCACCTTCTGAGAAGTGTTGGTTCAGTTCCTTGACCCATTTATTGATTGGGTTAATTCTTTCTTTCTTTCTTTCTTTCTTTTTTTTTTTTTTGGTGTTTAGCTTTTTGACTTTAGTGCTCTATCTGATATGCATGTGGTAAAAATTTGCTCCCATTCTGTAGGCTCTCTATTCACCTCACTGATTATTTCTTTTGCTGAGAAGAAGCTATTTAGTTTGAATCCATCCCATTTATTAATTCTTGATTTTAATTCTTGCACTATAGGAGTCTTATTAAGGAAATAGGGGCCTAATCTTATATGATGGAGATTTGGGCCTACTTTTACTTCTGTTAGACACAGGTTCTCTGGTTTAATACCTAGGTCCTTGATCCACTTTGAGTTGAGTTTTGTGCATGGTGAGAGATAGGGGTTTAATTTCATCGTGTTGCATATGGATTTTCAGTTTTCTCAGCGCCATTTGTTGAAGAGGCTATTTTTTCCTCCAATGTATGGTTTGGGTGTCTTTGTCTAATATAAGATAACTGTAATTATATGGGTTAGTCCCTGTGTCCTCTATTCTGTATCATTGGTCTCTATTTTGTACTATTGCTCTGTAGTATAGTTTAAAGTCTGGTATAGCGATGCCACCTGCTTCACTCTTCTTGCTAAGGAATGCTTTAACTATTCTGGATCTCTTATTTTTTTCCAAATGAATTTCATGATTGCTTTTTCTATTTCTATTTGGCATCCTGTAGTCTTCTTGGATTTGATTTTCCAATTCATTCTTCATGTTTGGAAAATTTTCTGATATTATTTCATTGAATAGATTGTTCATTCCTTTGGTTTGGAACTCTATTTCTTCCTCTATCCCAATAACTCTTAAATTTGGAATTTTTATGCTATCCCATATTTCTTGAATGTTCTGTTCGTGGTTTCTTAGCATTTTCACTGTGTGGTCTACATTATTTTCAAGATTATATATATCTGAGGTCCTGTCTTCCAAGTGGTCTAATATGTTGTTGATGCTTTCAATTGAATTTTTAAATTTTTTTTATTTGTTTTAATTAGTTACTCATGACAGTACAATGATCTTGACATCATACATTTGAATCAGATGGGGTATAATTTCTTATATTTTTTTGAGAACTTTTAATTTGGTTTATTGTTTCATTTCAAGGATTTCTGTTAGGTTTTTTTTTTTTAAGAACCTCTATCTCCCTATTAAAGTAATGTTTTGCTTCCTGTATTTGTTTATGTAGCTCTTTGTCAAAATGATCTTTTGCTGCCTATATTTGCTCTCTTATATCATCCTTTAATTCATAGAACATTCTAATTATGTACATCCTGAACTCCTTCTCTGTAATTTCTTCTGCTGTGCTGGCCATAAATTCTAATAATATGGTATCTTGATTTCCACACTTTCCTCCCTTATCTTTTTATGTTGCTTGTGTGTCTTCCCTTCTAGCACTGTGAATCCAAGGCATTACCATTTTTACCCGATAAGCTTATAGTGTCCCTGTAGGGTTCCAATACCTCTCCATTGAGGTGAAGGACAATGTTAACAGATCCCAATATAAACAATAGCCTTAAAACAATTAATTCCTATTAAGACATTTACAGTCACAATGTACAGAATGGTGAATTCAATTATTATCTACAATATAATCAATAGGTTTGTAAAAAGGTTTACAGTTTCTGATGGTGGACAAAGAACTGGGGGTGAGGTGTAGGATGATATGCTGAGGAGGTAGGAAGTGAGGATGTAGAGTTGTGTCTTAGGAAGTGTGAAAGAGGACTCTAAAGAAGAAGATTAGTAACTGGAGAGGAGAGAGGAAGTAACTTTGTGTAGACAAGTAAGTGAGAAGACAGTTGAGTTCATAAAACAAACACACATATATATTAAGAAAAATTAAAAATGTTAAAGTAGTAGAAATTGGCATGATGTAAGAAGGAAAAAAAAAAGAATATATACAACACAGCTGTAATATACTATTCAGATGTCCCTGTCCTCAAAATCCTAACTCATGCAAAGTACTTTGTTTCACATGTTAGGGATATGAGGGAAGGAGAATAGAGAGGGAGAGGGGAAAAAAATTTTTGAAGGAAGAAAGAGGATTGTTTTAGTTGGAAATTTGTATCTTTCCTGCTTCCCTTCTCATCCAATAGATGGGGTCGTTTGTTATTTGCTGGTATCTCCACCCTCAGAATAGTGAAAGTAACCAGGATATCACTGTGCCGCGGTAGTGGCTGCTGGGGAGAGGGGGGAATTAGAAGCTAGGTGCCTGGCCAGCCAAAGTTCCAAACTGGGAGTTGCCCCCCACTGAAGATGGTAATGAATGTGACCCAAGATGGAGGCGCCTGCTTTCAGCGGTGGACTATCGGGTCCAAGCAATGGTGTAGGACAATGAGTTCATAGACAGCTCTGTGGCATGCAGTGTGTGGCTGTCCTTCAGAGCCTGTGTGAAGTTCTTGGGTGCAGGCAGGCCACTGCGCATAGGGGATTATCTGAGCTGCTGCAGGGTCCCAAGATGGCGGCGACCAGGGGAGCCCCATGTTGGTAGATGGGAGTTCACAGAGGAATGGCGGCCAGAGTTATTGTGTGTGGGAAGCTGCCCGGTGTCCTGCGTGGTCACCTATTTGCTCCGGTGGGTGGCAGAAAGTTCTGCACAGGTGTTGATGCTCGGGTACCCTGTGTGGGCCAGTATTTGGGAGACCTACTCTGATGCTGAGGCCTGGAGCCCTAGATGGGCATGGTGGCCATGAATCCTGTGAGGAAGCAGGAATATAGCTCGCAGAGAAGCAGTATTCTCACTACTTGAGTCCCAGGTCACGGAGCAACACAGAATGCTGCCTCCCTCTAGCCCGCCACCTTGGATCCGGACCTTATGTCTTTTATCTCAGCATCCTTCATACCTAGAGAAGGCTTCCCACAGGAGTTCTCAACAAATGTCTGTCAAAATAACAAGCTTATAATAAGTCACCAGACTAGCTTGGCATTTATAGAACCTAAAGAACTGAATTTCTTTGGCAAACCCTCTCCCTCTTTTGACATGAATTCTCCCATTCTTACTCCATGAACTTTAAGGTTTCTTCTAGCCCCTCCCATATTACATAGATAGAAGGGTAGCTTCTAGAGCTAGTAAATGCCAAGCAGTTTCTATGACAACCACAAGTTCTGTTGGCCCAGACATGTAAAATTTCATCCTGAATGCACAATGCACCAGACTCTCCCTGCTCCCAATGGCCACCAAGAGATGAATTATTTGATTTTTAAATCCCCCCTCCCTTAGTTGATTCCTCCATTCCAGACCTATTTCTGAGAGAACCAAAA